CTAAGGCCTCGTTTGGTATGAAGGAAGAGTTTTTAATGAAATTGAAATTGGAATCGGAATTGGAATTGGAATCGGAATCGGAATAGAATTGAGTTTTAAAAGTGTGTTTGGTATGAAGATGGAATCTGAATATAATATTAATAAATATATGTATTTAAAATAGATAAAGACCAAAATGCCCTTATAAAAAAAAATAAAAAACTCAGCCATCATGATGGAGTGTGTATGTGGGGCACTTATGACAATTCCATGAAATTGTGGCAATTCCATTATGATGGAGATGGAATTGAATTCTAGGTATTTTGGTAGAATTGGAATCCATAAGGAATTGGATTCATGCATACCAAACAATTGAAAACATGATTCCAATTCCAATTCCATTTCTCTTGGATCCAATTCTAATGTACCAAACATGACTTAAGTTTCTCTCATACATTACTTGGCCGTAAAAATTTTATGAGAAGTTGGAGACGAATAAAATTTACTTGCACCACACGTTTTGGTTTAGCAGAACTAAAAATATTCTTCAAATTAAATATGAAACTATAAGTTCAGTATTACCCCAAAAAAAATTTAATATGTTTCATGTATGAGAAGTTGGAGAGAAAGAATTCTTCGCTGGTCAGGTTTATTTTTTAAATGAAATATTGATATTCATAATTAAATACAACTTGTTGATAAAGATACATCCGTCACATAATTTGTATTTAGTTAAGTGATCCCAAAAAGTTTGAAACGGTCAATAAAATTATGAGATCATGATATTGTCGCGTTTTTTCTTTTTTTAAACAAACCGCGTGGCAATTGCTGTTGCTTGTCTTTGCTATTAATTTCAGTGGTTGTCGAAAACCATAGCAGTCATGATTGTTACATATATATGCATTTGCTTCTTTTTTTTTCAAGAGAAAATTCATTTGTCGCGGTTATTTCTTTAACCAGAGTAATTAAATGTCTCTTCTTACTGTGGTGTTACACCATGTTCTTTTCTTCTTTTTTACGCAGCAACCGATCCTTTTTAACACTACCCATGAGATTAAAGAAGTTAACGAAAATTCAAGGGTGTCACGTCAAATTAATATATAATATTTAATTTATACAAATTGCACTATTTACGAATAATAAATAATGTGGTTTATTTTTTAATCCTATCACACCAAAGAACAAAACATCTTTTAAATTTTAATTAATGGATTAAAAACTACAAATTGTTTTCTTTTGACCGAGTCAACCATATGCACGAATGCATGATGCTTGCATGGCTTTCATTGTAACAAACTGAACAGAAATTATATGAATATTTTAAAAAGAAATACCAGTATTTCATCCACGAGAATGGTCTAACAGAGGATATTAATTCCGTATAACATGACAAATTAAAGTTCAATGAAGAGAAAGGTGCTTGCATGATTTCTTTTATCATGAGAGGAATAATTAAAAGGACTTCATTAATTTTTATACAAAATTTGTAGTATATAATTTTTACTGTTGATTAATAATTAATAATAATAGTTTCCTCCTATTATTTGAATAATATTAAGGGACGAAAATATTTTTTATCAATGAAAGAACAAGTCCAACCGTAAATTCTAAGATGAATATGTCGCCTTTCTTTGAGCACCGCGTCTAGTTTACGTTGTAGTTCAGTAGCTCAAGGGGTCGAGGCTCGTGACGTTGACGTACTGTACGTTTAGCTAGTTCCACCGAAATTCAAACACTTTGACCGAATTGCTTCACCAGGGTTGTTACTTGTTTTCTAGAATGGTTTGGCTCAGTCGATGATTTGTCACCATGAAGTTAAGTCTTTGTTTTTTTGACCAAAAAAAGAAAGAAGAAGAAGAAGAAGAAGGACTAAAAGTCTTTATTTTTAACATCTTTCATTTATGGTGACAAATTATCGACTTTAATTTCCCGCCCAAAACATGTTCCCCATTTTCTTCGGTCAACGTACAAAAAAGACAAAGAGAAAAATTGGACTTCTGCCAGCATGGTCGACTTAATAGCACGCAACACTTCCCTCACTCCAACTTATCTTTTTTTTTTGGGTTCTCCTTTTTTCCTATATATAAAAAGATATATATAGGTACCGTATGCTACTCAAATCACAGCTCATCTTCCTTTCAGTTAACTTGGTTTGGAATCTCGAGCTTCTCAGGCAAGTTCATCTCTATTCTTCTTCTCATCTATTTTCTTAATTTGTTTGTCAACGCTCTTCCTCTTCTTATCTTTTATTGCTTAACCAAAATTGCTTTATATTTCATTATATTCATGAGCTAAATGTCACGAATGATATCTTCGTGACTGTGTAAAGACCAAGATAATGAACGATCCGCTGGTTAGCCTCGCACAATATAGGTAAAGGGGGCGACATTGGCATTTAGGTGCGTTCTGCCTTGGTCTTCGAGCTAAGTGCACAACTGATTGGAGGCTAGTGCTGCCTCCCTGATGAGCCCATGACAGGGCGAAACCAGAGTGATTCGTATGTGGTAAGGCTTGTCTCAAGGATTATGGGGTCCTCGGGACGCCGCACGGGAACCGTGTGTTGTGCCAGACTCTCAGCCCGTGACAGAGTGGTATCAGAGCGGGACGTACTTTACTGCCGTGTGCCTGTGGAGTCCCACGTTGGGACTAGTTGACCTTGGCACCGCTCCAAAAGCCTGCGAGGTGTAGGTGGGTCCAAAAATAGGGACTTGGGCGGGAAGGTTGACCATGGTTAACTCCACTCCTGTTGGCTCGCGGGTGTGAGTGGGTCCGAAGAGTGCAGGACTCGGGTGGCCATTCAGCAGTGAGCTGATGTGTTATGGCAGTATTGTACGTGCAATCCTTGGGCAGAGTCTTTCTCCCCTAGCATGAGGGCGTGCTAGATTGGGTGTGGGAGAGTGTCACGAATGATATCTTCGTGACCGTGTAAAGACCAAGATAATGAACGATCCGTTGGTTAGCCTCGCACAATATAGGTAAAGAGGGCGACATTGGCATTTGGGTGCATTCTGCCTTAGTCTTCGGGCTAAGTGCACAACTGGTCGGAGGCTAGTGCCGCTTCCCTGATGAGCCCATGGTAGGGCGAAACCAGTGTGATTTGTATGTGGTAAAGCTTGTCTTGGGGATTATGGGGTTCTCGGGACACCGCACGGGCGTCGTGTGCTGCGCCAGACTCTCAGCCCGTGACATAAAGCTAGCCTGTACACATACAACAAAGCACATGGAAAAGGCATCGCAACGGATTCTATCCTTAAGTACTCTTCCTTGATCTTGACAACACAATTATGCTTTATGGAAGGGAACTCCCCAAAGATAATCCTCGTCCTGGTAACACCCCAACCTAACTACTGCTCAATCCTTTCCTTTCTTTTTATTCACTCCTAAGATTTTAGTGCACTAATTAAGTAATACTTTTTTGATTCTATTTATAGGGCAGAAAGAGAGTATTTTTTTGTCCTATTTATAGAACATTTCAATAATTATTGTGTTCATCTTCATTCTTTTGCGCCATATTAAACATTGATAATGTTATTAAATGCTTGAGTATTTAATTTTTAAAGTATGTACTCCCTCTGGTCAATTATATAAGTCATTTTCTCTTAGTTTTGGTAAGTTTTGATGTACACTTCTAAAAGTACTCTCTAGTAAATTTTTAAAAGAAGTGCAATATTTTAATTTTTAAGAAATTTCTTTTCACATATCAAGTCACTCTTTTTTAAATGTAGGGATAAAATTGGCAAGTGATTTATTTTTAAGATAATTTTATTATTCTAACTAACTCATCTTGGTTTTGATGAGTTAGTTAAAAGTAACATCTAAAAAGATTGAAGGGAGTATATTTAATAGGTGTAAAGTTAAAAATTTATTAAATTTTTAAATAAAGTTAATAAAATTTAAAATTTCCTTTGATTTTAGTGAAAATACTAAAAGTAATTTATAAATAGAACTGCAGGGAGTATTACTAATATGGAGTGATAATTTTTCCTAATATGCTTTTAATTTATTCTAACAATTAATAATATTTTCTTATATTTGATATAAACAAATTTTTTAACTTTATTTTTTATTTTGATTAATTCAAAAATTTTTTATATTAAAAGAATTTAATTTGAATGTTTTGTTCCCGCTCACTCATTCCTTTCACTTGATGGGTCTTTCCAATGCGTTTGTTCTCTTGAAACTTTTTGGGAAAATGATGTATAAATTTCATGGAGTAGATTTATTTATAAATAAATTTTATAAAATTTAAAAATTATAATTAAGTCTCATGAAACTTGAGTATAATTTAAAATTAGGGGTTAGAAGACAATAATGTCCTGTGAAAAATATATTATATCAATCAAATAATTTATAATTACTTTATCAGTAATTTACAACTATTGCTTCAACTTTTTTCAACAATAACTTTACATATTTAATAGTTAAATCGATTATGCATTATTAACAAGTTTAACATTAATTATTTACAACTACTTCATCAGTAATTTATAATTATCACTTTAACTTTTTATAACGATAATTTCATATATTTAATAATTAAACTGATTATGTATTACTAACAAAATTTAACACTAATTATTTACAATTATTTCATTGTTAATTTATAACTATCATTTTAACTTTTTATAACTATAACTTCACATATCCAATGGTTAAAAGTTTTGAATATTTGATGTAAAAAGTTGAAATTATAGTTGTAAAAAGTTGAAGTGATAATTTTAAATTAGTGATGAAGTAATTGTAAATTATTTGATTGATATAATCTATTTTTAATAGGAGCATTATTGTCTTTACACTTTAAGTTCAAATTACATTCAAATTCTTGGTTGTGATTTCTAAATTGCAAGGGACTTATTAATAAATAAGTCTACTCCATAGGAGCTATAATAATAATAAGCCACTTTTGTTTTCACCAAATAATAATAATAATAATAATAATAATAATAATAATAATAATAAGAAGCAACTTTTTGTGTCAGATTTTATAAGCATCGACTGTGGATCACCAAATAATTATTTGGATGCGGAGAACTAGAATCTGGTATCAGACTGATTCGAATTTTACTGAAACTGGTACAAATTTTAAGGTTTCATTGAGCACAAACAGAGATTTTGATACTTTTGGGGGACTTTTGATTTGGCTCAGAAGCTTCCTAGAAGGAAGAAGGAACTGCTACAACTTAAAACGAAAACAAGGCAAGAACAACACGTATCTTATTAGAGCATGCTTCATGTATGGAAATTATGATGGCAAAAACCAAATCCATCTTTTGACTTGTACGTGGAAGTCAATTATTGGGACACCATTGACGACGGAACACATGCTTATGTCACTGAGATTATCCATACTCCAACAGTTGATACCATACATGTGTGCCTTGTAAAATTAGTCGCAGGATCAATACCTTACATTTCGGCTTTAGAACTTCGACCTTTGAGCAATTCCATTTATCAAACCCCCTTGTCTTCTCAACCATTAATGTACTTGCTAGGAAGTTTTGATTTTAGCTTTACTTCAAACACCAATAGATTCATCAGGTGAACAAATTCCCTAACCATTCATGTTGATCTAGTTCTCTTTAAGAATTTAATGCAAGTATGCATGAGTCCGTATACAAGCAATCCGATCCTTAAATTCATTTATCTATTATCTTGTCGTGTAGGTACAAGGATGACATCTACGATCGCATGTGGCGCCAGATTAATGTTAAATCATGGCATCCATTCAATAGCTCTGTAGATATTCATACTCAAGGCATAAACGATTCTTATAAATTACCTGCAGGTATACTTGGATCCGCAGTCCAATCTTTCAATACTTCCTTTGCTTTGTACTTTGATTATGACTCTATATGGCAAGACCTTGACAGATCTTCCAAATACTTTGTCTTCTTTCACTTTTTTGAGACTAAGAAGCTTCCCCATGGGCATAAAATAATAATTAATATCACTTTCAATGATCAAAACATCCTCTCCCAACCTTTAACTCTTGAATACTTGAAGCGATAGACCATTGTTCCTCAAAATGCAGCTCAAGGTTATGTTCGTTTTAACATTAGTGCAACATTAGAATCCGATGCTCCCCCCATCCTCATTGCTTTTGAGGCTTTTAAACTGATATCTCCGTTACCTTCCCGACGGACAAGCAAGATGGTATACAATGCCTTTATTCCTCATTCAATTATTTCTATAGCTCAATAGTTATGATTTTCCCCTTAATTTGTCCCTTTTCTTTTGGGCCTATATATATGTGCTTTATATATATAGTTGAATCTAACTAAGATTTGACTTTAAGACCCTCTTCGTAATTAGTGATACTAGTGGATGCTATCATGGACATTAAAAAGACATACAAGATCAAATCAGATTGGCAAGGAGATCCTTGTGTTCCAAAACTTGCATGGGAAAGACTAGGCTGCAGTTCTCGTATCTATCGTACCTGAAAAAATGCGACACGGACGGCACGCGAGCGGAGGTCCCGGCCTTCGCGACGGGAACCGGATCGAATGAGGAGTCGCCATCGAGATTTTGAGGTAAATCTCAGGAAACCGATTAATGGAGGATAAGGGTGGTCTGCGAAATCAGAGAATAGGTTCGGGAGTCGGTTGAGTGTGGGGAAGGTGTTAGGCACCCCACAACACCTATTCGTCAGAACGGTTACCTGAAGTTCGTTGTGCTTTTTTAATATGGTTTTATAATTATTTTAATTATCCCTTTTATATTCATGTGTTTGATATAAAAATGATAAGAATTAGGTGAGAAATGTTTATTTATTTACAAGGGAGGACGGACTTGACTTAGAATCTGACTCTGAGGCCTACGTACCCTGTGATGGGGATCAAAGTCCACGTAGTTCAGGCTTAAAAGTTTGTTGGTGAAAATATTTTTTTGAAAAGAAATTAATTAGAAATAATTCACCATTTTGCAAATAAAACAATTTCTGAAATTTTGATATGTGTGTTTTAAATTGCAAAAGATAATTTAATTTTAATTATTTTCTCCATTTTTGAATTTTTGGAATAAAGAAAGAAAAGAGTTTAACATTATTTTTCTTTATGTTTTATGATTGGGAATTTTAGTCGCAGTACCTGCAGAACCTTATTAGTTCATATGATAATGCAATTGCTCTAAATATCTGCGAAGATTCTGAAATCTCACACGATAAAAGAGTTTGGCCATTTAATTTATTTATTTATATTATTATGTATATCTTTAAGTGTTAATAATAATTTCACTTAAGTATGTATATATGTTTTTAAAGAATTTTAATCATCATACCTGTATAGCCTTATTGACTTATACGGTAATATGATTATCCTAAATATCTGCAGAGATTCTAAAATCTCACACAATAAAGGAATTAAATTTAAATACGTCTTTAATTTAATTAATGTAATATGTAACTTATATATATATATATATATATATATTTTAAAAACTTAATCGTTATATCTGCAGAGTCTTATTGATTCATACGATAATACAATTATTTTAGAAGTCTACGGAGATTCAAAAATCTCACATGACTAAAGATATAATTGGTAAATGTGGTTACAACTTAAATTCATTAATTTGATTAATTAATTTTTCTAAATTGTATTATGTGATTATTTGCAAAAATTATTTATTTAATATAGAAATTAAGAATCACTATATCTGCGAGGACTTATTATCCCACACGATAATGTGATTAATTTAAGTCCTTATAAAGATTCTTGAAATCTCACATGAAACTTAAATAAATTATTACTTTGGATTATAAAAGGAGATTTAATTTTAATATATAAGTTTTGCTCTCGTATCTGTGAAATCTTATTGATTTACACGATACGAGATTATCCTAAATATCTGCAGAGATTCAAAGTCTCACACGATAAAAGATTAAATAATTCACTTTGAATGTATTTTAATGCGTAATTATACAACGCATATAAAAATCTTAATCGTTATACCTGCAAAGCCTTATTAACTCACACGGTAGTACGATTATCTTAAAAGTCTACGAATTTTCAAAAATCTCACTTGACCATAAAATCTAATTAGACAATATAATTATTAACTTAATTAATTAATATTATAAAAAAATGTTTATTATTTTATTTACAAAATTCGTTTATGTATTTACCATACAAATTGTGAATACGATATCTGCGAGGATTTATTATCCTGCACGATAATGTGATTAATTTAAGTCTCTACGAAGATTTTTGAAATCTCACATGGGACTTAAACATTTAGTATAAAAAGAGAGTTAATTTCAATAATGGGCAGTATATACAAATTAATAATCGTGACATCTGCGATAACAAGCAAGAAGAAATTATGCAGGGCATGTAAAAGAAGAAACTAAAACACTACAATATGATAAACGCAAATAGTCATAATAGAAATTATAACTATAATGAAATGAAATTTCAAGGCCACCTGTAGCAAAAATTATCACTGCAATTATAACAATTGTTTCATCACAATTAATGGGGACATAAAACAAATTAATAATTGCAGAGACAGCAAAATTGAAAATAATAATTTGTGACCTGGAATCATGAAGTTCATTATTTGAAAACTTCAAAATAAAATGGCATTGAGAAACCATTAATCTGAACCTCCATGAATAATCAATCAGAGTTCATTAGACCATGAACTCAACACGAAGCCACTTTTAGTTTTCATATTCAATTACTAAAGTAAAAGCAAATAATAATAGGTTAGCCCAAACCTTTAACAGGTAGCAGAATTTTACCTGACGATGAAGCCATAGTTGAACGCCATTAACTCAGTCTAAGCACTCTTAGAAGCAATACCTTCACAGCTTCAAGTGAAATCCGCAGGAAAGGAGATGGTGGTGATGTCAATGAAGTCCCCTTCCAACAGCGTGAAGCTCTTTATTGTAGCTTCCTTTTCATTCTCCGTCTCTGTCTCTCTCTCTCTCTTGCTCTCCCTCCAACCTCATGTGTGTGCTCTGTTTTTTTTGTGCTTTCTTTCCTCAGTTTTTCTCTCCTCCTTCTGAGTTTTCTGGTCTGTTTATGATCTATTTTATTTCTTCATTTTTCGTCTAGCTGTGTTCTGCTCCTCCTCTCTCGGTCTCGTGCTCTCTCTTTCTCAGTCTCTTTCTCCCTCTCTCTCCTGCGTCTCTTATGCTCTGTTTCACTCTCTCTCAGTCTCTCTCTTCTTTTCCTTTTCTCATCTTGCTGAAAGTCCCATTACCAGCGTGTTTTTACTCTGTTTTTGTCTTCACCATCCCTGCTTCTCATTTCTGGCTCTCTCTCTCACGTTGTTGGCTCTTTTTTCAGTTTTGGATCAGTCTCCTTCCTCGGTCTAGTCAGTCTTTATTTCCTTTTCAGAAGAAGACTCATCTCTCTCGGTCTCTTGCTCCTGCTCTCCCACTCTTCTTTTTTCAGGAAAAAGCTCGTCTCCTTCTCGGTCCCTCTCTCTCACGTTGAAACGTTCCTGTCTCTCCTTATCTCCATGCTCTGTTTTTTTTGTTTTCTTCCATTCCTCCCATTTTTCTCCTCCTCTTTCTATTTTCTTCATCCCTTTTAGAGTAGAAACAAGGAAGCTTGCGTGTGAGGAGAGTTTACGTGCTTTCTCGCTCTGCTCTCCTATGTCTCCGTCTCAAATTTCTTCTTCATTTTTCTGTGCTCTCTTTTTGCTCTCTAATTTCTTCTTTCTTCTATCCCGCTGTGTTCTACCTTTCATGCTCTCTATCTCTCTTCCCTCTTTCTCGGCTTTTTCTGCTTTTTTCGTGCATGCTGCACTTCTGTTTTGCTTTTGCTGCTGTCCAGTTTTTTCTGCTCACGTGAGTGTCCAGCATTTGCTTTTCTTTGCTTCTTTGTACGTGCATGTGTTTCTTTTTCTGCATGAGTCTCTGACTCTTTTCTTTGCGTGTGTGTGTGCTGTGCGGTTGTCTTCTTTTTTTTGTGTGTTGAAAGTGAGTGTATGTGAACCGCATAAGGCTTGTGATAAGCCTTCTTCTTTTTTTTCTTTTAATTAATTTAATTTTTAGACACACACACACACAGATGTATATATATATATATATATATATAATGAAAACTAATATTAAAGAGAGAAAAGTTAACTCTCAAAAGTTGACTCCCAATATTTTGGATGATTGAGATAATTTGGGAAAGATTTTAATAATTTAAACAAGATTTTTTTTGATTATTTTAATGAACTAAAAGAAATAAAATTCTAATAAAATAAAATAAAATTAAGCCCTATCAACTAAAAAAAATTTTGTTTTGAAAATATAATCCTAAAAGGATTAAATTTTATTTTTTCATTTTTATATTTTTTGATTATTTATTATCAAATTTAAAAAAAAATGCCCGGACAAAATACGGTGTTCACAGTATCGATATGGCGATAATGCAAGGATCACCTCAGTGTAAGTCTTTTGGCTTCTGAATTCATTTGATTCTCTTGACACTTTAAAAGGGTTGGATCTATAAGTATAGCCTTATTTTTATACCTTATAAGTATTCCTATCCACATAGTGTGTATCTAATTATCACTTCCTCTCTTTTTGTTCCAAATGTTTGATCAAACTTTGCAAGTTAATTTCATATATGATGCCACTCCAAGAGTCTTAACTAGGGAGCTATTACTGAAACTACATTACTGGCACAAGAGCTATATCCTTTGTGTAGTTTATGAATAAGCATTAAATGATTTTCCACAACAGGAATTTGAGCGCAAGCAAATTGACAGGAAACATGATTACGTCATTCTCACAACTTATAGAGTTAGAGTCATTGTAAGTATAAAACAGTAATTTAATTATAACAAAGTTAATTTTTGAAGTTAAAATGCCTCCACTGTGCTAATTTTTTCTTTATTTAGGGATTTATCGTATAACGACTTGTCAGGATCGCTGCCAGAATTTCTAGCTTATTTGCCAAAGTTGAAACTCCTGTAAATCAGGAGTTTATAGTAAATTGTTCAAGATGCACTAATATCTTAATAACTCCAGGCTTCTTTGATCATGAATTGAAATATTTCTCAATGTTTTTGCAGTAATTTGACTGGCAACAAGCTAACGGGCTCAATTCCTAAGGCTCTTAAAGAGAAGTCAGATGTAAATTTGCGATTGAGGTTTCCCATCTTTATCTATCATCGAATATTCAACTTTAACTGTCATAATTGTGAATCAAAATCATATTAATATAAATTAATATAATGTAATTCATTTGGATGAGTAGAAAAATATGGTCGATCCTATCTCAATTGTCTTGACTCTTGATGCAACTGGGAAAGAATTCTTGTAATATCTACACACACACGCACACACACATGGATTATTTTTCAAAAATATTGAACTTCTCATTGTTTGTGTTGAATGTCAACTAATTATACTCTACCTTATCCCTTAGTTTGTTTGATAATCCTGGTCTTTGTTTGGCGGATTCATGCAAAAAGAAGAAGTTTGTTATTCCACTTACTGCATCAATTTCAGTCTTGATCGTAATCCTCTTGGTTTCTCCAGTGGTGTGGATCGTCAAAATGAAAAATCTTAAAGGTGCGTAAAAAAAATATATATTTGATTTATGCTTGGGTATTTCTACCTTCTTAATTTTGACCCTTTATTAAGATTTTTTTTTAAAGTCCTGCATTCTTTAAAATAGTGGGAGTTTTAGCGTATATATGTAATAGGGTGAGTTAATGAGCAAGTAAAAGGGCTAAGAAATAAGGAGGCTTGCATCAACCAAAACGAGCTAGCCAACATAGTTGAAATTGGTTGATAGTTGATTCCCGAAGCAGCCGACATTATAAGCAGTATTGGAACCGGTTTATTACCATAGCTTTACATTCTCATCAAATCCATTTGAATAGGTTGAGAAATACACAAGACCTGACAGCCAGTCAGCCACTGCCACACTTTTTTATGTTTTAACATTTTTCTCTTCATATGCAATCTTTATTTCTTAAGTATATATATGAGGGGAACCTTAATTATTTTCATCAATATTGCAGTGGTTATTACTGTTTCTACAAAGGATGAATCATTATTGGAAACAAAAAATTGAGCTGTTTCTTACTCCAAAGTAGTCAAGATCACTGATAACTTTCAAAACTTGATTGGGGAAGGAGAATTTGGAAAGGTTTATTCTGGAACTCTCACAAATAGTACTCGAATTGCTGTTAAAGTACTCTCTCAATCATCCATGCAGGGTTACATGGAATTTCGATCTGAGGTCAGATTAAATCCTAAATTTTGAACCTTAAAGTTGGCCTTAAAAGCTTTATAATTACACAAGACACTTAGAAACTTAAACATCTTTAATATTAGTTTACTATTATACGTACAATGTATCAAGTTCAATATGAATTGCAGGTAAAACTCTTAATGGTTGTTCATCATAGACATTTAGTTTCTCTGATGGGCTACTGTGAAGAAGGTATAGTGAGGGCATTAATTTATGAATATATGGCTAATGGAAACCTTCAACAACATTTATCAGGTAAGAAACCTTGTATGGAAGTTAGATTTTGGACTCAATCACAGCTTGACCAATTTTAAAAGGAAGTTTCAAAAGAAGTTTATCTATAATATAATTATCATGCAGATAAAAAACCAAATGTTTTGAAATGGAATGAGAGGCTTCAAATTGCATTGGATGGTGCACAAGGTAAGAAAAACCATGTTTAATTTTTACTACATCGATTTGTCCAAATTGATTTGCTCATTTTCTTCCCCACTACTATACTTAATTAGATCAATACATTTTAACCTATTTGGCTGTTTAATGAAATGCAGGACTAGATTATTTGCATAATGGTTGTAAGCCACCAATAGTCCATAGAGATTTAAAAACTTCCAATATTTTACTAAATGAGAATATACAAGCCAAGATTTCTGATTTTGGGCTATCTAGAGCTTATGTAAATGACATCGACACTTACATGTCAACCCACCCCGTTGGAACACTTGGTTATGTCGATCCTGAGTGAGTTTTTCTAACAAATAAACATAAAAAAAATGAGTACATTTACAATTGTCTAGTTTGGCTTTAATTTACAGTTAGTCCCCGGTCAATCAAAGTTGGTATGTTTTGTCACAAATGGTAAAATTGAATCTTCATCACACCAATTTCAAAGTATTTGAAATGATTATTGAAAAAGTGTGTTTTTGTTTTGACATCTAACAATAATCATTTTTGTAGATTCCAAACTTTTGGAAACCTAAACAAAAAGAGTGATGTTTATAGTTTTGGGATAATTTTGCTTCAGTTAATCACTAGTCAACCAGCAATAAGAAGAGAACATGGCACCATTTGTCACATTCTTTATTGGGTTAACCTTCAACTTGAAATGGGGGATATCTAATCCATCATTGATCCAAGGTTACAAGAAAATTACATCATCAATTCAGCTTGGAAATTGTTGGAGATCACTATAGCTTGCACTCCAACATCTACAATTCAAAGGCCAAACATAAGCCATGTAGTAGCTGAACCAATGGAATGTCTAGCTCTATCAAAAAACATGGGAAGGAATTCAATCAATTCCTTTGATATGGGTACTTCCAATTTTGATTCAGGACTTATTCCATATGCTCGATAGAGTGGTAGCTATTTAGAATTTGGACTTAACCCATACTAACAAAGCTAGGCACCAATTGGGTCAAGCTAGTGATTTTCTATGTATGATTCTTGTTATTAGCACTTCCAACATATTGAACCATATGTGGTTTTTGTGTTAGCATATTTGAGGATTTATTGTCACATCTTATCTTTTACATTTTTATTTATACATTAGAGACTAATTAATGACTATTTTGAAGCTTGGAACCTCTTAAAAAGCATCAAAATTCTCATTTATGAAAAATTTCTTCTCATTTATCCTAAACTATTATGAACTTTAACCAGTCCATTTCTTTGATCTAAGCATTTTTTCAAAGTCTTTGAATATACTTACTCTGTTTAAAAATATAAAGCATTTTTAACTGAATATCACTCCCCAATAAAATAATTAACTATTTTTCAACTAACTCTATCTTTTCATATTTTTCTCTATTAAACATCTTACAATAAATATAAAGTCATTATCAATGGGGGCACTTAAAAAAAAAAAGCAATAATTACACTTCGAAAGATTAAAAATGCCTTACATTTTTTAATATTCAACTCTTCAAAAAATGCCTTACATTTTTTAATGGAGGAAGTATGTATTTTTGCTTAGCAAAGTTTTTAATAATTAATAATCCCTTCACTAGTTTAGTGCTAATATGGGAATGATCCTAAGGTAGATTTAAAACTCTCCATTGAGAATTTCAGCATTACAATCGACACTTGACTCATTGAGTGAGGACTTCATGATTGTCATTAGCGCATTTGATGCACTTTTCCCCTAATGTATCTCTTTTGTGTGATTTTACATAGAAATTAATCCCGTGACATTAAAAAAAAAAACTCATAAAGGGGTATCATCTAGAATTTTTCTCTTTAGTGGTGGCAATTGCCGTCACAGATAAGTTTCATTGGAAATTACTTTCAAATTTAATGAAAATAAATCATAATATATAATTGGTTGATTGGGAATATGAATTATTTTGCTATCTGCTTTACTCCAAGGTATTAATCAAAATTCCCTGGTTCCATTCAAATGTATACATCAAGTAATTAAATTTGAACAGGATATAATTAATGTTATAACTTTATAAGTGAAAGTACAGAATAATTTTTTTGGCCAAAAATTGCAATAATTTTTTTTAACCCATTTTCAATTGAAACGATTTGGACCCTACACAATTTTTTAGTAATAGTAATCAAACAAATTGAAACATAATCTTTTATTTTGCTAAAAAAAAAATCTTAATTGCATAACTCAATCTCAAACGGGCAGAAAAAGGTACGCATAAGTGCATAACTCAATAGGCTGAGATAATAGAATTATTTTGGACTAGAGGTTTCACACTGTTCAAACTCGCATTTGGGCCTAGAGTTAGATATATTATTTGGGACAGTCCATGAGTCCTGAAGCACAAAAAAATTATTTTAGTATAGATATATGGGTCAATATGAAATATGGTAATATATCAAGATAGGTCTCAAGGAAAATTAAACACAATGAAAAATAGGCATCAAATTTGCAGTTTCATTCAAGTCAAGCGAATCACACATTAGAGTTTAGAAAGATTAATAATTAATATTCAAAAGCAAATAATTCCAATAAACAACAAATTCGTAAGAGAGATGACTTAAGCTCCTATTTCCTTGTTTACTTCTTAGAATTTATTTTCTCTAAATTACTAAGATTAATTTTGATTGGTTAATCTAGAGTCTAATTACTTGTAATTGTCTTCCAAATAAATTACAACCCTCTCTTAGGAATGTAAATGTTAACACAATTATTCAACAAGAATTTAAAATTCAATAACAGTATAATATGATTATATGAGTCCAAGAGGTATATTCCTATTCTAATGGTAAATTAGAAATAATTATAATCCCATGCTACCTAATCTCAAGGTCCATTTAAGATTTTCTTTTCCAAAATAAACCCTAAAACCCTAAATCTCAACTCAATGGTGGCTAATCATTAAGCAAGTCACAATAAATGAGATTAAGTAACTCAAAACTAACATTAATCATAAAATAATTGAAGAAAATAGTATTTAATACATAAACAAGCTCATAGTTGCTTAGTTATTAGGAAAATCTAGCTATACATCGGTAAACTCAATCACACAGCAGCAAAGTGAAAAAAAAAAAACAAAACCAGAAACATTGGAAAAGAAGGAGAAAAATAAGATTAAACTAGAAGAAATCAAAAAATGTGGATAAATCATCTTCCTCCAATCTTCTAGGTTAGTGCCTTGCCTTCAAAATTGCCTCCTTTAGTCCAGAGAACTTTCCAAAAGTCAAACTGCTTTAAAACCCTCGTGCTTGCTCTTTTTTAATTTGAAAAATTAATGCTATGAGTTTCTGGTGTGAAATCTACTATAGCAAGCCTTGTTTTCAGTTCAGAATTTGCCTTATAACATTGACCTGTGTAGTGGCTACTATAGTAAGTGATCATAAAAATATAATTTTTTTCATTAAAATCATTATATTTTCCTTCCTCCACCTCTTTCAAACTTTTGTAGAGTTTCTTAAAATTAAAATAATTCAAATTAACAATAGAAATTACTCTAAAATAAATCAAAACTTGATATTTATAAGATAAGTTAACAAACACTAAAATAAATTATAAATACAAGACAATTAACTAAAAATAATTAGATGACTCTCTAATTAACTAATAAAACTCTTTAAAATACATGAAAATATAGAGTCATCAAGTTTAATATTTATGATAATGTTTTTATGAGAATGAGCCCAACTTATATCATGCATTGTAACTCCTTCATGATCTCCTAGAGCCCCCAGCATGTCAACATTTTCATGATAATTCTCCTCCTTTTTCTTTTTAGGTAAGAGGGTGATTCTTGCATGATACATCAACAACAACAACAACAACAACAACAAGCCTTTATCCCACTAGGTGAGGTCGGCTACATAGATTGCAAGACGCCATTGTGGTCTATCATTTATCAAGCTTTCAGGAATATTATTAATTAAGAGATCGCGTTCAACCATCTCAACCGATTTTCTACCATTTTTTCCTCAATAGGTGCCACCATTACTTTTTCGCGTACGTGCTCATTTCGAATTTTATCTTTACGTGTATGTCCGCACATCCATCGTAACATTCTCATCTCTGCTACTCTAACTTTATGCTCTTGCTGTCCCGTTAGAGCCCAGCATTCACTACTATATAACATTGCTGGTCTGATAGCAGTGCGATAAAACTTTCCTTTAAGTTTATTAGGCACCTTACGGTCACAAATAACTCCTTTAGCTTTTCTCCAATTAAACCACCCAGCTTGAATTCTATGTGAAATATCTCCACTGATTTCGCCATCATTTTGAATAATGGCTCCCAAATATCTAAATTTTTCCACTTGAGGTATAATTTGATCTCCCAATTTCACTTCCAAATTATTGTCGAATAGTCCTTTACCAAATTTACAATATAAATATTTCGTTTTACTTCTACTCAGACGAAAACCTTTCGACTTTAATGTCCTCTTCCATAACTCAAGTTTACAATTAACCTCTTCTCTTGCCTCTGCTATAAGAATTATATCATCCGCAAAGAGCATACATTTCGGGATTTTCTCTTGAATATGTTCTGTCAAAACATTTAAAATCAAGTTGAACAAATAAAGTCTCAGAAATGATTTCTGATGTAGTCCAATCTTTATATGAAAATCCTTTGTTTGACCACTAAGAGTTCTTATACTAGTTTTTACCCCCTCATCCATATCTTGTATGGCTTTAATATAAGCAATCCGTACTCCCTTTTTTTCCAACACTTTCCAAAGCACTTCTCTTGGTATACGGTCATAAGTTTTTTTCAAATCAATAAAAATCATGTGTAGATCTTTATCTTTACAACGATACTTTTCCATTAATCCCCTTAGTAGATAAATCGCCTCTGTAGTTGATCTACCTGGCATAAAACCAAATTGATTCTCAGAAATACTTGTCTCCAATCTCAACCTGTGCTCAATTACTTTCTCCCACAATTTCATTGTGTGGCTCATAAATTTAATCCCTCTATAGTCAGTACAATTTTGAATATCTCCTTTATTTTTATAAATAGGAATTAATGTACTTCTCCTCCACTCATCAGGCATTTTCTTGGACCGTAAAATCACATTAAATAACTTAGTTAACCATCTCACCCCTTCTTCACCTAAACATTTCCATGCTTCGATAGATATATAATCAGGTCCATTGGCTCTACCATTTGCCATTTTCTTAAGAGCTTCCTTTACCTCCTTATCACGTATTATTCGATAGAATGACAAATTTTGTTCTCCTTCACCAGTTACTAAATCCTCCAAGTTATTAGATGAATCCTCTCCATCATTGAAAAGTTTAGAAAAGTAAGTCTCCCATCTA